AACACTCACCAGCAGCGCACAAACGGCGATACTATTGTACACGTGGAGGAACTTGTTCTCGGGGGGATAATAAAGTTACTACTGCTTCGATTCGTCAACCTCAACTTCCTTCCTGGTGTTGATAGTATCATCCAGAGCAGCCCACCAAACTGTATACCAATCAACCTCTGTGTGAGGGGGGATAGGAGGAAGATCTCGACACACATCCTCGCGAGTAACTAATTAATACATCATCACATACCGTAATTTCCCCATCTCCTACCTATGGTCATAGTGCTCCTATATTTATACCTCGTATATTCCATTACCGTATAAATCAACGAGCACGGTCGGAAAATGATATCGTGCATCAGCTTAGTGAGAGGATACAGCAAAAACGACATCAGCGTACCACAGAAAGAGGCCCAGGCTCGTCCTTGAGTTTCGCCACTCCTGAAAGTAAAAAATCTCCAAAAAAATTTCAAGTTGTATTCTATTACCTGGTACAGGTACAACTACCAAAACTGACCATCAGATGAATTCCCGCATGGACGTATAGTAGAGCCGCCACAGCACAGAGTGTGACGAGGAAACCCAGAGGATCATATACGACCATTCCACCGAGTATAAAGGGACGTAGGATGTCAAACAGAATGAAAAGGAGTTGACCCAAATAGAAAGGCTTCAGCATCAACGACGTGAAACTGCACCAACCACTAGGGAGGAAGAACTCTCTCAGAAGACAGAGTACTCGTCGCGGTAGACCGCCCTCCATAACAGTACGAGTGTATTCATGTCCGCGGCAATTGATACTAGCATGCGGCAGAGTCGGCCAGTCCTTCACCTTCGACTTGTCTCGTTGTTCCAATAACGTAACGCCCAGTGTCGTGGGATCGATCTTGTTTTTCGCCGTGCCCAGGACCAATTCCAGAGTGTTCCTTTCCCAAATGACAGGCCCACTAGGGCGGGTGAGCGAGCCCGACACCAACGTCTCGGCCCTCGACCAGCTGGCATCTATCATGTCGTAATAGAAGCCTTCAACACCCATCGAGTTCGGCCGATCTCCCAAGGCCAAGCCCTTCACATAGGGGTTATTCAACAACTCCCTTTCCGGCACACGAAAGCTTTTATGAAGCATTTCGCCAGAGCGCAGTAGTAGGGCATAAATATAATCACCACATCTCTCTCTCGAGAATAGGAAGGGGATCCAATACTTACTAGCCCAGTAACCTGCAAGTGCCTCCGAGTCCTCCGGTACGTACAAATAGTGGACATCGGCAAAGGCCTCTTTAGTGACCATTTCAGTATCATCCTGAGGACATAACTCGTGGCCATAATCAACCACGAAAACATCATCTTCATTGACCGCGACCGAGACCGCTCTCTTTAAAGTGGCCAAGAACATTTTCCGCGACTTAGCCGTGAAACAAGCTCGATGGACCATCAGCAGTATACACGTAGAACTGCCCGGCACATAGCCGCTCTCTGCACACTCGAGCTCATCTTCGTCATCAAAGTAACCCGATGAACTCCTTGAGGCGGTCTTGTTGGACCCATGCCGGGCCCATCGAGGCAGCGGAGGTGTATTGCCAACACCAGGGACAGCCCGACACAAACCAGTGATGGAAGTGGTGACCAGAATAATCCATTCGTAGAGTACATCCCCAAAGGCCAGCAGGAAGAAGAAACTACTCAACTTGCCCACTGGGGCATCTCCCTTGAAAACATCCAATGCCATTGCAAACTCACCAGTGAGGTTCTGTGGGAGTATCCAAAGCGCCGCGTAAATGATGAGAACGCAGAAACAGAATATAACAAAACAAACGCCCATAGTTCGCAGAGACTTCGCATGAGCCTCCCTCTGACCAGCAATGCGTTCTTCCTTCAAAGCCTGGTATTTGCGGAGCTTCCTGGCCCACATACCAGAGTTGAACGCCAACCTCGGAAATAAGAATTGCCTATAGTGTCGTGCATCACTAGCAGCACTCACAGTAATATCATCCATAGTCGTCACAGGCTGTACATCGTTTCTTGGCAAATAACCATACGATTTCTCCAGTGCCTTCTGAGCCTCACTTCTGGGTGTACTTAGCAGTACCCCCTTTTGACCGTACATAGTGCTGGTCACCGACCCTTGACTGTGAAGGGAACTCCTCGCGCTCATACCGCCGTTCATAGGCGGGCCGAAATCCGTGGCTGAATCAGTCGGTAACGGCGGAGCGTTGTTGTGGAAGTTATCCCATATAGGGTCAATGATCTGCTCCCTATAAGCCCTACGTTCCTGAACGAGACTTTCACCCATTCGTAGTCGTCCTTCTCTCCACCATCTCGAGGCGAAACCAGCGGCCCCTAGCCCTAGGGGGGTGACCACGACCCAAGTCAATACGACGAGGAATGCCATACCAAGAAACACGCCGCGGATTGCCACCATATCAGCGGGTTGTAGTTGGAATTTGGCATCACAGAAAGACTCCGAATCAAGCTCAGAACAGGGGTGCGTGAAATAGGTCATACCAGTAATAGGAGACGATATTACCACTGCACACTGACCGTTGGGTTGCTCCTGAACCGCATCGGCACAGGACATGTCCCAGTCGCATACAATAGGGATCTTGTTGTTAATAGGAGTACCATCTTGCTCGGCCTTGGCCCAAGCATCTTGATCGATATAGGGAACTTGACACTGCGTGTCACCAGCCTTGAGGCCGTCACCATACTTGTCGAAGAACGTCCATTCATATAGGGAGTAGTTCTTGACGGTAACACGGCACGCTGGAGCATCGGATCTGACAGTGATACCATTGAAAAACGATTCACTTCACTGGGGAGCGGTACGCGTAGGTCGAGTAGTGGGCCACGTTGGGACAAGAGATGACGGGGGAGTAACTCAATGATGAGTCGTAGATCCAGGTGACTCCCAGGGACCTGTCCAGCCATGATGTTCTCAAGGAGTGGTATGAAAAACCTTACTTCCAACATGCTGCCACGAAGAAAGCCACCACAAATCCAATACTGACTGCGAGGCTTCGAGTGAGAAGACCGCAAGAGGCGATGTTATAGGGGGGCTTGCTGGTGTCAGCGAAAGGAGGCGAATCAGACTGATACCTGTAAGGCACTGAAAACAACGGGACAACGACAACGCCTGGACCTACGCTAATTGGGTCCGGTCCCTGAGTCTCGATTCCCTAATTATATTATCATAAGGACTGATAGTACTCGAGGAGGCACCAGGATCTGCTCAAGGTGTGGTATGGATCTGCGCTATTACTCTTAGTTACCTCTTCTAGGGTTGCTCTGTTCTCCCGAGCGCCGCCTATAGGGTTGCTCTGATGACAACGATGTCTTGTGGTTCACTTGAGAGCCCTCTGACGCGACAGTCTTCATAGTATTATAATACAAACCCTTCCAATACAAACGTGTGTCAAGTAGAACACAGGACGCGTCACTTGCACAACTTGCAAAATCTTGAATTTCCTTAACGGCAAATCGACTGTTGTGAACAATGGGCTATAACTTAAGGACTCGTTCTTTTGTTCTGTCTCTTCAGCATTCTAGGCGGGTTCAGCGTTATCAACAGAGGACGCAGGGCATGAGGCTGCTACCAAATCAAGTAGGGTCCTCACTGCCTCGGATTTTTTGATTAACCTGAACAGCTCCAGCGCTGAGCTGCACGGTTGGCCGGTAATATTGGAGGATTTGGGTCACCCAAATGGGTTGTTGCTCACTATGTAAGACGCTTCGTATACACTACTGAAATTCGCCACGTATTGAGATGTTGAGCCTGTGTTGGGCACGGCTGGTCACCGTAAAGCAAGAAGGCTCCCCAGGCACAACAGAAGGTAGACTCGAAGAACATTGAAGGTTTAAATATACCATCATGGTAAGCCTGAGGAAGATCATGAAGCCTGAAGCTGATGTTATCGTGAATACTTTCGATATACACGAAATGTAGGCGGCTGCCACCTGTGCCGAAGTACGGACACAGTATGCAAAGCTGTATAGTTCTTCGTTCAAGTCTAACTCTCCTCAGTAGAGCACCGTCGAGCTGCAGGAGAGTCGTCTGCAACTCAACAGTGCCTATCCTCGGCTTTAGAAGAGGCGTATGGATGCCTGGAGGGCCTTGGAGCATAAAAGTAGTTGCTCTCTTCTGCAGACTGATGCCTTCACCACTCATATATCAGGTAGTTCATTTTTCGAGGCTGCGCATTAGTTGTCACGTATGAGTAGACTATCTCTGACATGTCAGCAGGGAAGATATCAAGAGAACCGAGCGCTCTATGTAGTATCTGCACTCCAATATTGGCCAGGTTACTGACCGTCTTTGGTCTTAGTGCCTCTATCTAACTGTCGTCGACATTACTGTCCGAATAATGCATGGCGACCTGA